GCCCGGGAAATTCAAATCCCGGGCTTCATTAGCAAGTGCGGTATGCATACATTACCCCGCTAGTTCGAACTAGCGGGGTAGTGTAGACATACCCTATGAGTCTACTGCCAGGATCCTAACCCTGTCTATGAAGTTGGAGACTTCTGCTGAATTTTTTCAAAATGCTTCTGTATTTTTTTTTTCCTGGGAAAATACATACAAAATTTTGTGTCACTAGTTAGTTCAGTTATACAAATGTTTGACTTAAAAAGAATTTGATTATTTAACGATCAGTGGGCAAGATCCACAAGCAATGTTCCCTCTAATTTTTTTTATATCCTTGGATAGAAATAATATTATGTGCACTAATATGGAGGTGATGTGTGTCGAGGTGGTGTTGAGTTGTTTGGAGTGTTCAGGGCTGGGACAGAGGGTTGGGGTTTGGGCTCTCGGGTGGGGGGGGGAGGTTAAAGGGCTGGAGAAGGGACAGAGGACTCCCCCTGAGCCACCTTCTCCCTGCAGGAGCACTTAGGCTGCTGGGGAGCCTCTCTCCCTGCCTCTCCCTACCCGCAGCAGTACCAGGGGTGGAACCATGGTGTAGGCATCTTTCCTTGGCCACAACTCTGTACACCCTAACTTGCTCCCCTCCCCACTCCCTACCTGTCTGTTCGTGAGGCCCTTGGGCTATGTGGCTTCTCCGTGGCCACACAGTTTAGAGGGAACTTAGTCCTTGGCTAGCATAAATCAGCAACCATTATACCCACACCAGCTAAGGTTAAGGCCCTTGAAATTTACAAGGGAAGAGTCAGATTTCTGATGTGTGTTCTAATTAGCTGTCAGCCAAATAGCAGTGGATGATGAACTAAAACAGTTAAAAGCAAAAATTCTTGAAAATTGTGTTGTACCTCAAAATTGAGCTTTCCTGAAGTACTTTTTTCCTCCTTGAGCCATGAGTTGTCATCAGACGAATTTTTTTTTCACCCCACAGTACTTCAAAGCATTTACGAAGCAGTTCACAACTGGAGAAAATTACAAAGGTAAGAAAATCCCGCTAATGAAGCTCCAAAGCATTTATCTTCCTATCCCCAAAGTACATTATATAATAAAATAAAATTTCTTTATCCATCAATAAAATTCAGACATTCTTAGGTGGAATACGCTGGCTGCTTAACAGCATAGTAAGCAACTGTTTAGAAGAGGACATTTAAAAATATACTTTGGAAATTAAATTGCAAGGGAAATTTGGGGTGGCAGAATGTAATTGCTGGAGTTTTTGTCTAGGACTGTCGAGGTAATACACCTATGCTTTGAGTAGTCTTTAATTGACGCTGGTGGGCAGATCCTTCATTTTAAATCTCATTAAAAGCAATGTACCTTTCAGCTGCATGGTCTCCCTTGGTAGGCCTGGACTTAGATGGAAGATTATCACCTTCTAATTTACCAGTGCAACTTTCTTCAGCCCCTGAATTTATTAGAAGTTCCTTATTTAAATGTTAAATAAACTTGGACTTGGTCATCTATGGCCCTGACATGGTCACACCTTGAAGTGGTCTGGCTACAGAGTAAAGTAACACATCTTTTCAATTGGACTAACATATAAAGGGACAAAAGTCAGAAAAGAGACCACCTGTACCATTAAGCATCTGGTAGAATATTATTGTAATTGTACCTGCTATTTTTAGGCATTGGGAGGGGGTTGTTTTCATTCCCCCCCCCCCAAAAAAAAGTTTTTAAGGAATCTGGTTTTAAACTTAAACCCTCTCCCCAATTTCAAACCTATGGCTAAACTAAAAAACTCTTTATTATTTATTTATTTATTTATTATTGTGGCTGATTGTTACTTACTTGGGCCATTTAAGAGCATTACACCTGTGGCTCAGATTTTCAGTGCTTGTGTTTAGCTAGTATGCAAAAAGTGTTCATAGGGTCACTGACCATCTCCATTGCTCGAACTCCTGCCAGTATAAGTATTCTTTATGTGTGAATGCAGACCTGGCTGAAGCAAGATGTTAGTGTATTTAAGATGAAACCGAGGAGAGGCAGGTCATCTTCATTGAGTTAGAAATGTTTGTTTTTTTTTAAGTTCCTGGAGAAACCAACTTATATAAAAAATATCAAAACTTAATCCTGGGAATAAAAATACCTCTGTCCCCTCCTAAAAGCTTAGGTGATAGTGTTTGTTTTTAACTTAAAAAAACCCTTAAAACTGAGATTGAGGCAACCTCAACTTTGTGATACATTTCTGTCTTCTGAATAATTCGTTGTGTTTTTAGCAGGGTCAGATCGCGAGCTCCAAACAGTTCGTCAGATGATGATTGATTTTTTGCAGAACCATTCCCAAGAATCAAGACCACCAGCCTGCCCTCCCTTGGAGCCCATTCAGTAAGAATCTTGTTTGAAATAACAGAACTTTTTTTTTACCTGTGGTATGCTACTCAAATAAAATATTAGGACTTCTTCTGCATACACAGATTTTATTTTTTGCTTTTTCTGTTTAACAAGTACTTAGAGTAAGTTCTTTGTGTGCTAAATAACTTTTCTTTTCTTAAAGGTCCAGTGAGATTGCTTCTCTTTTTGACAAGAACAGTCCTCATTATACTGCCATTGTGGTTGAAAGTAGTAGCTCCTATGTTGGGCGAGAGGTAATGTGTAACTTGTGAATTTAATCCAATATTTAAACCACGAATAATACAATTGGGGTTGTATTTTATTCAGTCAGTGTAGCTATTCATGTGTCTAAAGGTGCTTGCAGGATTGGAACGTAAGTGGTGAAAGCAAAAACATATGCATTTAGAATATGACTAAGCCATATGATGCCATAAAGAATTGGCTTTAGTCAGACAGGAGTGTTGCGGGTTTGTTGGTTTGTTTTTTAGAAATGTGATGTTCATTTTCTGGCTATTTGGATTCTTTTCATGCCTTAATACAGAGGTGGGCAATAATTTTTAAAAGGGAGCCACTTCATAAATTTCTGCAGTGGCCCCAGGCTGCTCTGGGGCAGGGCCTCAGGCAGAAGGGGCGGGGCCAGGAGTCTTCTCGTGCTCCCTGATTGGCCTGGGGGTGGAGGAGTGCATGAAATCTTGCTCCCCCTCCCCCTGGAGAGACTCGCTAATCAGGGCCTTGGGGCAGAGGTAGCACACACAATCTCTTGCCCCGTATCCCCGCCCTGCAGGGCATGGCAGCTAAAGAGGGCAGCTGGCTATTTTAAAACAGCTGATGGTTCCCTCTGATTCCATGTGCCCCTGGCAGGTGGAGAAAACTTTGCGCCAATCAGGGGCTTGGGGCAGGGGAGTGCATGTAGTCTCTCGCTCCCTGCCCTTCCCGTGCCAAGCAGGGGCAGGAGACTTTGCACGCTCTCCCATCCTCAGGTCTTGATTGCCTGGGGGCAGGGGAGTGGCAAGGCAGCCACGGGCGGATCCACCAGCTTGGCGGAGCGGATCTAGCCCGTGGAGGCCCCTTTGCCCGCCCCTGCCTTCATGGAAGTTTAGTTTATGCTCCTCAATATTAGCAAAATATTTCTGTCTGTCAAACCTCACATTATCACCAGAAAAATATTTTTCAAGTCATGATTGACATTGCTATCACTAGTAGAGATCACATTCAAAATGTGTTCCTTTTGGGGGTCTTTTTAGCATTGTAATCTGTATGTTATACTGTGTGTCTGTGTAGTCCATATACCATATTAATTAAAATTAAAAAGCCACCAAAATCAAGATACAGAATATTTTAGTAAAACACTTGGATGGTTATGTTCTTAGCTCAGTTTGTGCTGAGGTGTAGTAGAGATTAAAAAATTGTATGTTATGTTTAGGCTGTTACATATCCTGTATATTGTTATAATGTGGTTATATACTATGTTTTTCATACATACCTTAATATCTCATATTGACCCATGCTGCTAATATGTTTTTTTGAGGCATGACCTACTTGCCCATTTAAATCTTATGACAGATTGCAGTGTCTGATCTCAATCAGTGAAGCAGTTAACTATGTCATTGTAGTAAGTAAGTGAGGTAAGAACCCCTCTGGTGTGCTTGGCACGTCTGAAGGAAGGCTAAGTAAATAACACAGCAGGACTTTTTGCAGCAGAAAAGGGCCAACAACAGATTAACTAAACCCAGATATTGGAGTGCTGCACAGGGGACAAGCATTGTATTTTTGAGCAATTCTGAAAGCACTGTGGGATTCAAAATGCCAAACTGAAACAAGTCGCTTGATGGGAACCGTGTCGAGAATGCCGGTGCTAGCAACATTTCCTTGCCTTGAGCAGATGCTAGTCCTATAGATCTTGCTACACATCAGTGGGATAGCTCTGTGCGCAAGGTTGCCTAATTGAAATGTGAAACTTAAGGACACTTACAAAATGTTGGGCCAGCATGCTAGTGGAGATAGTAAATTTTCTCAGCATTTTGAACTGAGGTATGAGGATGTGGAGAATTAAATTTGTATGAAATTTGGTTTGACTCCATTTCACATTCTAAAGAGCTGCCGTTAGCCTACACAACTTTTGTTAGTTTTCTGCAACTGCCAAAATCTAGGACAGGTAACTGAAAACATTAGGGAGCATCATCAGTATAGAAACATGCTGTGTGTGTTTGAGGTTTTAATTCTGTTAGGAGCAGGCCAAGGCACAACTAGACTGCAGGATGCTGCCAGCTTTGA